AATTAACATAAAATTCTGGATATCTGAGCCAAATCCATCTGTAGTCAAAAAGAGTACAGGCAGATTAATATTTTAAATTGTGGTTCTTTGTTAGACTTCAGTTCCAACATAGCAACTGCAATAAACGTATTTTGTCCTTTCTTTTTACACATGCTGAGGAATCTGGTGGTAATAATTGAATCTCTTTTTTTTGTCTGTTAATAATCAGACTGAGCCCATTCCAAAAATCAATACAGTGTCAGATCTATTATGTTTCAATAATAAACATTGGTTTTCTATTCTTACTTATTCTCTGATTGTGAGAATGATTGAATTTTGCACTTGAACAAAAAATGTAAATTGAAAGAATTGCCTCATATATAAGAACTAATCAAAATGTTCCTGTCATACCATTTCATTTATATAAGATGACATGTTCAGGAATGCAATTATCTGGGTTGCATTTATCTTTATCTACATTTGGTACTGCTTATGAATTTGGACAAAGTAATATATAATATTCATTTTATGCAAAATATTTTAGATGAGATTTTTTGTCCAAATAATGTTGCAAATTATTCTTTCTTCAATAATTGTCATCCTGTTGACTGGTTAGACGTTAAAATGTGCTATATTCTAAAATTCTAACACATTGACTGTAGTACAAACTCAACTCACAAAAGTATTAAAAAATGCAAAACAAAAGTGCAGGCTGCCTCTGAGAATCTCAGTTGCAATGACTTGTAACATACCCAACGTTTAATATAATAAACATTCGAAAGTGCTTCATAGGAGCATTATGAGTCAGAATTGTACACTGAAACATGTAATGTTATATTCATGCTGATAGCCAAAAACTAGGTCAAAGACAGAAATTTTAAGCAATCTTATAGTAAAAGATCCTTTGCAAAAAGGTGACCATAATACAATGGTTGAGCTTTCTGATATTACAACTGCAGAAGATACACATTCTGTAGTTATAGTTGCAGTGCCAGTGGTGTCACAAGATGTGCAGATTCCACCAAATTCAGTTTTTTTGGAAAAGGCTAGAACTAACAGATGTTATAAAGGTGCTTCACATGAAATAACTTCTGTGGATTTGAGTTTGAATGATTGTGGAGATATCTGGACTGTGTTTTTTGAAAGGTCAATGGAAAGTCATATTAGAATATGTGTTTTTTGAACAAGCCATTTCTTGGAAACTACATGGTTCCAGATAATTGCTTGAACTCATTTCAAGGATACTATCAGTCTTTTTTTAATGACTGAATTTTGTGGCTGTTCTGTTTGAACAGAGATTGCAAGCTTGGAGATTGTTTTTTGAATGTTTCAGTTGGGGAAAGCCCACTATAGAACAAGCTGCTTGGCTTGAGCATCTTGTTTCTGAAACATTTTTGCCATGAAATCAGGGTGAAATTTGAAACCTGTGCTTCTGGAAGACTGATTTAAAAATTTTCTCAATGTTGTATTTCCTGAGCAAGCTCTGTCTGTCAAGAGCCCAGAAATAATTGCGCAGGATTAGTTCCTCGGCCACATATGCAAAAATACCAGATTGATACATTAGAAAATTCTACATCTTATTTTTCTTTGTCTTCAAGAATGACACCATTGCCTGAAAAGTTTTTCTTAAGTGAAACTTGGCAGAATGAAATCTGTCTTTTTTACCAGAAGACTCTGTGGTTTTTGAGTGTTTGTGTATATCTGTGTGTGTGCACACGCAGGGGCACATGCGTGCATATGTGTGAGTTTTGGCATTATGTAGAGGAGTAAACATTCATATTTTAAAATTACAAATTGTGTGTATTAACGAGTTCTGCCTCTTCATTGAATTGGTTTTATTTTGTAGTAAATCAATGATGTTGCATTTATTAAATAATTCTGGTTGATAGGTCTTTTAATTCTAAATATAATAGAGAAAGCATGCGATTGGCCACATTGTGACTTGGGTAGAATGTTCTTATTTAATAATGCAACCCATGGAGAAGTGGACTATAGTGCCATTGCATTCTTCCAGCCCCAGTTGTAACACAGAATGGATAAATATACGCCTAATGTATTTAGGTGTTAACACATCATCTGAGTCTCACTTGATTCTGCTCTTGTTTCATGCAAATCATCTTGTATTTGCTTTTGTTATTCACACAACTGAAGTTGTAATGGTGCGCTAATTCCTTTTTTGTCCCTTTCCTCCACAGACATAACACAGTTTAATGTTGTACCAGGGTGAAGATATGGCCAATTATATACATTTCAGACTCTCTGTTTGGTTTTGAATTAGCAAAATTGCAGCCAGGTTTCTTTCGTCAACAAAGAAGAACTAATTTATTACAACTAAAACAGTAAATATAATTGACACAGGTCCCATTGATTTTTCAGCAACTACACCCTAACTCCATCCCACAGGCATTAGTGAAACTGTGGGTCATCAAATCACAATAAAACCTCATAAGAAATTCCACTTTTTTCACAACATGACTCAAAATGTGACAAGAGCTGTTCTGTCATGGATAACGATAACAACTGCACATGTTGTGTGGCCCACCTTCCTTTCCTGGGGTTATTCTACCCTGGTTTTTGAAAACATCACTCTAGCATTCATCTATATACACAATTTAAGCTTTTTCACAAATATAGACTTTCACCAAACCAGTAATGTTTGTTTGTTTGAAATTTAATGTGGCTCAGTAGCCTGAAGCAAATACAGCGAGTGGGCCTTCAACCCCGACTACCAACTGTACTAATCTATTAATTTTGTTTATGGCTTTGTATGAGCTTCCTAAGTTCCTGGGACAATTTTAAACCCTTAACTCCAATACTTATTTGTACCATAGAACGTCACCCTGAGTTCTGACAGTATAGAGCTCTCCAATTTCTTGACTTATATCTGAATTTCTTCTGAAGAAGGGTCACTGGACTTGAAACGTTGACTCTGCATTTTCTCCACAGATGCCGCCAGGCCTGTTGAGTTTCTCCAGCAATATTTATTTTTGTTTCTTTGCTTATCCAGCCTCTCTTCATAACTAAACTGTACCTGGCAACATCCTGGTGAATCTCCTGTGCATCCCTTTCAGTGCAATCATATTGTTCCTCCAGTGTGGTGACCAAAACTGCACACTGTACTCCAACCAAGGCCTACCAAAGTTTTGTGCATCTCCCTGCTCCTATAATCTGTGCCATGACTGATAAAGGCAAGTGTCTTGTATGTCTTCCTAACCACCCTATTAATTTGTCCAACCACTTTTAGGGATCTGTGGACAAGCATCCCAAGATTGGTCTGTTCCTCTGAGCTTTCTAATGTCCTCTCATTCATTGAATACTCCCTTGTCTTGTTATTTCTTCCAAAGTCCATCACTTCACACTTACTAGGGTTAAATTGCATTTGCCACTGATCTGCCTACCTGACAAAGGCATCTATATTGTCCTGTAATCCAATACCTTCTTCCTCACTGTTAACCACAGAGGTAAACTTCATGTGTACTGCAAATTTACTTATCATTGATATTATGAACCCTTTCTTCTTGCAACAATAAAAGAGAAAGATAGAGAGATAAGGTTCTGTATGCCTCTATGACCAATGTCATTGATTCATTCACTTAGGAAGCTGAATGAATCAGTGCTGGCAGGTCCTCAGCAGCATGATGGTTTTGAACCTTGCTAATAGGGCAGTAGGGCACTGGGCACACACTCCTCCCATGAAGAGGAACAGCATGCACTCTCAGGCTTTACAGTTGATATGTCTGCTGGAGATTGAATACCTAGAGGCCTGACTCCAGGACCATCTACTGCAGCTGGTCGCAGCAGCCTCAATCCATGCCAGGTTTGTTAGCCTCACCCTTAGGAAAGAGGAATAACTTCACATTGCTGTCTGACCCACATGTGATTCCAGACCCACTGCAATATGTTTGACCCTGAATTGTGCTCTGGGCAATTAGCGATGAGTAATAAATGCTGGATTAGCCAGTGACACCCATTAAAGTATAATGGAAAAAAAAATCTGATCAGTCAGAACATCTGGGTGTGAACAATAACTGTACAGTCCTATAATTAACTGAGCCTGCAACCTTTCAGAAAATAAACTGCCGATAACATCTGATGACATGAAAAACGGTGAACAATGAGGTTCAAAATGAGTTCATATCCTTCGTGCTGCAATAAACTAACCCTGAGGGAATCATCAGGGGGTTGTGAGTCATTCAGATTTCCTTGCTCTGGAGAGCTGTGGGGGTGGCAGGGTCCTTGAGTATATTTAAGGTTCTTGATTAGGAGGGAATCAACTGTTATGGGAAAGTGCAGGAAAGTTGATGTGAGGAATGTTGGCTCATTCATGATCTTCGTCAATGGTAGAGCATGCTAAAGGGCCCGCTCCTGCTTCTACTCAGAGAGGAGTCAGGCAGACCTCTGGAATCACATGTAGGCCAGACCAGGTAAGGATGGCAGTTTTCTTCCTGGAACAGCATTAGTGAACCAGATGGGTTTTCCCCCCCATCCCATGGGGGTCGTCATTAGACTCTTAATTCCAGATATTTATTGAATTCAAATTCCACCATCTGCCGTAATGGGATTCGAACCCAAATTCCCAGAACATCAGCTGGGTCTCTGGGTTAACAGTCCAGCGATAATACCACGAGGCCATTGCCTCCCTTCTTAAACGTTAAATGTTAACTTGAAATGTTAACACTCCTTTCTCTCCATGGATGCCGCTAGGCTTGCCGAGTGTGCCCGGCCATTTCTGCTTTTTTTTCACATATTCCGGCATCGGCTTTAAATTCTTGGTTTTACTTTGGACGGAAGTCAATTTTGCTTGATCTGTAAATCATTTAAGCACAGGAGGTGGCGTGTGCATTGGAGGCAAAGAAGAACCGTGTGACACAATGAAATAAGGATCAATGTTTTCAAACAAAGTGATCGAGTCCCCGGATGAATGAGCTGAGTGAGTGAATGAATGAAATGCAACGGAGCTGCCGCCGCCACGGCGCATGCGCGCGGGGTGATTGTCCGGTCGAAGGCGATGTGCATCCGGGAACGTGGTGCTAGTGCCCAGGTCACGTGACGCCTATTATTCCGCCATCTTGTCACCGAGGAGAGTAGGAACGCTGCGAGTGAGACGGCGAGAAACCTTCTTGTTCGCGATCCGTGCAGGTAAGGGATCGGCACCGACGACCTGACAGCCCGTCTCCGAAGTGGGAGGAAGAGGGTCGTGGACGTCGCTTCCATGTCGGTCCCGGGTTAGGGAGCCGACCTCACGCTGTCTGACCACCCCTGCTCTTCTCTTGCTCTCTTCTGTCTCTCGCCCCCGGCCGACCCCTGTCCTGACAAGCCGGTCACAGGCCGTGCCGGATGGGAGCCGGCAGCAAGCACATGGCGCAGCCCAGGTTGCTGAGCCGGCCGAGGTCGCCCTCATCCCAAAGACAAGCTACATCGAGCAGCTCCCTTGACTGGGGAAGCCGTCGCCTTCTCTCCTTCCCCCCCCATTCAGAAACAGTCAATCATCGGCCTCCTGAAGCAGGCTTCAGGGACGGAAGATGTTTGGGGCTGGCAGGCTGAGCTAGTGATGCAGCACTGTCCCTCCTGATCGTTTCGTTTGGGTTAAGGCTGGCTGGGTTAAGCTTCAGCTGCTGTCTGGATTACAACAACGATCAGAGTTAATCCTATTTACTATTAGGGAAGTCTTCCTTAAGATATTCACACCTGCAGCAATAAGTTTCAGAGATAGTAGGAACTGCAGATGCTGGAGAATCTACGGTGTAGAGCTGGATGAACGCAGCAGGCCAAGCAGCATCAGAGGAGCAGGAAAGCTGACGTTTCGGGCCTAGACCCTCCTTCAGAAAATAAATCAGTAATAAGTGTGCGGGTATTAAGAATGATCTTTCTGTCTTTTAAATTGAATGTTTTTGAGTGTTTGGAACGATGGCGACCTGCTGTCGTGTGGGAACACTGATTCACTTATCTGTGTTTTTAAAAATTCAGACTTTTCGTTTGTTTCTAAGGTCCATATGGAACGTGGGGAAATGGCATTCATGTTTTTGAAGTCTGATTTCCTGATGTCAAATGTATTCTCTTTCACTTATTGAGTGCTGAATTCGGCGGAATTTTCCAGATCTCGTTTGTAGTCTTGTAGTATTATGATGGCTGTTACATTTTTGTGTTAAACATTTTAGATTTGCAGTGACGTCACAATTGTTACCAGTCATCAGATTAGTGCCTGCATTGATGCAATAGCAATTCCAAAGTGCTTGTTTAAACAACTTAAACATTTTGGTTAAAATTGTTTGTTATGGATTCTTGGCTTATTGTATGATGTTGTATTTTGGTATGTTCTTCCTTCTGACTATTATTGTATGAAGTTAGTCACGTAGGTATTTTCTGAATGCATTTTGTTGGATATTTTGAAGTATCTGATATTTACAGCACAGTTTCTGTATATGGAAGCGGAATAAATTCACACTTTAAACAGTTTCATTCACTTCCAGTTGCATAGTGGTTTGATTTATTTGTGGCATTACAAGTGCATACTTTAAGTTTTTGAAGTCATGCTTGTCTCAATGTGTAAAACATTGTAATTTTAATTAACTTGCCATATTACAGTAAATGTTTATTCGTAAAATAAATTTACAAGCAGTTTTTTTAAAGTTACTTTACATAGCCAAAATAATTGGAGTGTTATTTTAAAACATTTTTTTCAAGTTTGTTTCTCTACTCTTGGCCCTTTTTTTTATATTTATCAAATCTGTTTCTCACTCTGCCCACTGCAATGTATTAATTAAAAATGATGCAAGATTTTGCATAAACACTGAAGGGAGAGCTTTTTAACTGAGATTATTTTACTAATGTGTTGCAGTTTCATGTTACTGTTCTTTGTTTTCCTGAAGGTAGGCTAGGAAGTCCTTTTATAAACAGTACCTCACCCTTTTGCAGAAGTGTTAGTCGAAATTTGGAATGGGGCTGTGAGTAGCAGAGTTAATTCATGATGTTACAGGAATAGAACTGCCCAGTTTCAGAGACTAGGTGCTAAATGCATTCTGAGACTGCTGTTTATAGCTTGAAAACATGTCATGTGCAAATTTGGAATGTCTGATTAAGTCCTTTTAAAATGTATTTTTTAAAGAAAAAATTTAAATTTGCACAGTGCTGTATCATCTCCTTAGAACATTGTGAAGTATGTTGTACCCAGTGAAATGCTTTTTGAGCACAGTCATTGCATTGGTGAAATAATTTTGAATGCCCCTTCAATCCTTTTGCTTTTAAGTACAGTCACAGTTTCTCCAACGTCATCCAACTAAAGTCCTTCATACTTGGAACATTTCTACTCTGAGAGTGTTTAATGAAGTCTGTTAGGTCTTAGGATTTTTTTGTTAGTGGGAAAGTCTTTGGTTAGATTTAAATTATACAGATCGTTGTTAAACTTAATTTATGCAGCAAAATCAAATCTTGCAAATCTGTCATAACATTTTATTAATAAATTTTGTGATTTTATAGAAATAACATTTGGAAAATTTGTGCCTACTTTTAAGATGCAGTTTTAACTAAAATGCTTCATATCTATCTGGGGGCTTTGCGTATGGCAGAGTATGAATCCAGTATGGAGGGGTAGCACATTAAACTTTTTACTGCTGCAGATTTAGAGTCACTGTTTTCTCATTGAGATAGTTAGAAAAGTACCATACTTTTGCTGGCCACAATTCTAGAAGAAAGCAATCACAATAAAAAGCTTCCTTTTTTTGTTTCCCTTCGCTATTTCTATGTCTGCATGATACCGCAAATAATATGTGCATGATGCATAATAATTTCTCTTAATTGTAACTAGTACCTTCATACTTTTCTTCCAGTAGTCTTCATTTACTCTTTTGAGGTCTATGTCTATCATTGTGGAATTTCTGACATCTGCTTTTTGCTTATTTTGACAGCAGCAAGTGTTTTAAATGGCACTTGACTAATAAAACATCTCAATTTATAGATGTGTTTACAAATCGCAATTTAATGTGGAGGTTTATAAAGTAATATTAGGGGCAGATGACCAAAGCTTGGCCAAATAGGTAGGGGTAAGTAGTAAGCAGCGCACTGTGGTACTTTTTCCACTGCAATGGTTTTGCATTTTGCTCATCAGTTCTTGTAGGAGTCTTTTAATACTTTTAAGTATTAAATTGTCTAACATCTTACTTTTACTTGGTGTACATCACTCTAATTTTCAATCAGTTATCTCTTTTAAGTTGTCAAGCCTTTAACATGTGACCAGTTCAGCCTTGTTGCATTTTCTTGATGTCTAGTATCTTTCCTCTTCCTTTGAGAATTTCCTCATTGCTGTCTCCAACTGAGCGACTGCATTCTTATCCAGAAACACATCTCTCAGCATTTCACTTTGTCTACTTTTGTCAGCTTTATATTTCAGCTCTGTGTAACAATTCCCTCCAAATCACAGTTTCTATCATTTTTTGTGTCAATTACACTGCTGATTCCTATACTTAACATTCTCCCAAGTATAAGTAACTGCTATTTCCATTAATCTTTCCACTCTGGATTCTGTATTTGGTGAAATTGAACCTGGTATAGTTGGGGCAACAAGTAAGACGAGGTTCTCTACTGGCACAGCAACAAAGATTGTGATGTTCACGGCCATTTAGGTACTGTGGTCGGGCCAGAAACCTGATTGGAAGGATTAATTTTGGAATTGTGAAAAGTTGAAGCTGGAGTTGGTAGATTCTTTGACAATAAAGGGAAATTGGTGAATGGGTATAGTTTGCTAGATTGGGGGTGAGCTTTTTGAAGAATGAATTGATGGTAGCTTTGAAGTTTTGGCAAGGGGAAAGTGGGCTGGGAAGATATCATGGGGAATACAAAATTTGCGTAGAAGGAACAGTTAACAATACCAGCTAATCAGGAATACAAGAGAAGTTTTTTGGTCATCTGTTTGCAAATAGTTAAGCACGCATGGGTGGATCTCGTGGATAAGCATTCTGAGAAATTAGAATTGAAGTCAAGGTAGAATAGAGAGAAAGTTGAGAGGTTAGGTGTAGGATAGGGCAGTGAGGATCTTTGAGAGACGTTGAGCTAGAAGTGGGAGAGACGACAGACCAGATGATCTCGCTGTTTGTGATTTAAGAAATGTCCATAAGATTCTTGTACTGCAACTTAGTTTCTTTGCTGTTTTCACTCCAGGCAACACTGACGTACATTGTAATGTATATTCTCCAACAGTAAACACAAAATACTGTTGAACTATGTGCAGCCATCTCTGGGTATAGGCTTGAACTAATCATATTACTCACTCATATTTTAAAAAAAAAAAAAAAATCATTCTTGGGGTATAGGTGACCCCGTCAAGGCAGTGCTTGTTGCCAATCTCCAATATCCTTTGAGAAGATGGTAGTGAGGTTCTGTCTTGAACCACTAGGTATACCATAGTACTGATAGGGTGAGTTATTGTCACTGGGTCAAGTTACTATGAAGGAGTGTGATATAATTCCAAGTCAGAATCGTGTGTGACTTGGAGGAGAGCCTACAGACGATGCTCCCAAGCATTTGTCCTAGTCGGTAGAGGTCATGAGTTTGGAATCTTATTCTTGGAACCATGGTTTTAATGGGGCTCGTCCACTTAAGGTCAGTGCTAACTTCCAGGGCGTTAATGGTCTGGAATACTGCTAAATGTCAGCTAAAAGGAAATGGTTGTATTGTCTCTCTTTAGAGCAGGTATTTTCTCAACACTTATGAAGTGAATATTACTTGTCACTCATTAGCTTCTATGCTGTCTGTTTTATAGCATGTGGCAGTGGACTCCTTCAGTATCTTAGGAGTCATGAATCGTATTGAACACTGCAGTCATCAGCAAACATCCCCACTTTTGACCATATGTTGGTGACATATATTATTTCGACTGAAGATAGTTAGGTTTTGAACCTCACCCTGATTACCTCCTGTGCAATGTCTTCATACTGAGGTGTATGGCTTCCAGAAACCCCACAAATCTTCCTTTGTGCTGGAACATAATTTGACTAATGGGGATCCCCCCACGCGATTCCCAATGACTTCAGTTTTACTGAATGTCTTGATGCCATTAAATGTTTCTTTGATGTCGAGGACAATTTTTCTGACCTGCAAGGTAACGGGAAAATTCCTGAGTTTTTAGGGCCTAATGCAGTGATTGA